TTCTTTTGGGAATTGTGTGGTCCTGTATTATGCAATTTGTTTTTAATTTGATATACCTTTTGAAGGTTGATTTATAGTAGCTTCTAACATGGGTGATAGATAACTTATTAGGGCCATTGATTCAGTCATTGATTTTTTAAAAATTTTATTTATTTGAGAGCGAGCGAGGGAGAGTGCGAGCTGGGGGCAGGGAAAAGGAGAAGCAAGCTCCCCTCTGATCAGGGAGTCAGATGTGGGGCTGGATCCCAGGACCCTAGGATCATGACTTGAGCCAAAGGCAGACGTTTAACAGACCGAGCCACCAGGTGCCTCTCAGTCATTTTTTTTTAACTTCAATATTTAAAAAATTGTTATAGTTGCTGGCTTTTTTAAAAAATAATTTATTTTTTATTGGTGTTCAATTTGCCAACATACAGAATAACACCCAGTGCTCATCCCGTCAAGCGCGCCCCTCAGTGCCCGTCACCCAGTCACCCCCACCCCCCGCCCTCCTCCCCTTCCACCACCCCTAGTTTGTTTCCCAGAGTTAGGAGTCTTTATGTTCTGTCTCCCTTTCTGATATTTCCCACACATTTCTTCTCCCTTCCCTTCTATTCCCTTTCACTATTATTTATATTCCCCAGTGAATGAGACCATATAATGTTTGTCCTTCTCTGATTGACTCATTTCACTCAGCATAACACCCTCCAGTTCCATCCACGTTGAAGCAAATGGTGGGTATTTGTCGTTTCTAATGGCTGAGTAATATTCCATTGTATACATAAACCACATCTTCTTTATCCATTCATCTTTCGATGGACACCGAGGCTCCTTCCACAGTTTGGCTATTGTGGACATTGCTGCTAGAAACATCGGGGGTGCAGGTGTCCCGGCGTTTCACTGCATCTGTATCTTTGGGGTAAATCCCCAACAGTGTAATTGCTGGGTCGTAGGGCAGGTCTATTTTTAACTCTTTGAGCAACCTCCACACAGTTTTCCAGAGCGGCTGCACCATTTCACATTCCCACCAACAGTGCAAGAGGGTTATTGCGTGGGATGCATGAGTGGCTCAGCAGTTGAGTGTCTGCCTTTGGCTCAGGCGTGATCCCAGTTCGGGGATCGAGTCCCACATCGGGCTCCCTGCATGGAGCCTGCTTATCCCTCTGCCTGTCTCTGCCTTTCTCTCTGTGTCTCTCCTGAATAAATAAATAACAGTTTTTAAAAAAATAGTTATTGCATGCCTACTGTGTACTGATGCTGGGAACATACTGGTTAGCAAAATAGATATGGATCTTAGAGTCTGATGGGACTGTAGAATTAAAAAATTGTGATTAGCATGTGCAAACAAGAGGGTCTAAGCCTAGACTGGCAGATTTGGGAGCATCTGTACAGTCCTAGAAATGAGTAAGATCAGATGATTTGGAGGAAAAGCGAGCAATGAGGTGGCAAGGAGGTGCCAAGCAGAGGGCAGTGGCAGTGGAGTTGAGCGGTAGATGGGGTCCTGAACTTTCAGAACCTTGTAGGCTGTCTGATGATTTTGTCCTTTATTCTTAGGGCTCTTGGAAGATTTGGGAGACTTACAGGCTGGAGAGTGGCTAGATGAAATTGAAATTTGCGTTTCATGAAAATGATGCTGCCATTAGTGTGTAGGGGCCAGGAGCACTGGCAGGAGAGTGAATCAAGGTGGGGAAGAAGACAGGGATGCCAGGAAACAGGCAGCACTTGGCAGAGTCACTAGTGACTGCTTTGTTGTAGAGAAGACCAAGGAGGGATGTTCCTCAGGGAAGCCTTAGCGTTGTTTAAGCCAGTGGCCTGTGATGATTTTGTTTAAATTAGACAGGTAGTCTGGTTTTATCCTGTAGCTGAGCAGCAGTTTTTTTCCGTTATTTTGCCAGCCTTCTTTTGAAAAAGAAAGGTTTAATAGTACGCAGTCTTGAATTTTGAGAGAGAGAGAGAGAGAGGCAGAGACACAAGCAGGCTCCATGCACTGGGAGCCCGACGTGGGATTCGATCCCGGGTCTCCAGGATCGCGCCCTGGACCAAAGGCAGGCGCCAAACCGCTGCGCCACCCAGGGATCCCCCCAGAGTAGTTTCAAAGCACTCATTAGATACTTCCTTTCTACATCCTGTAGCACTTTACATTTATTAAGTTAGAGGCATATTTTATATCAAAGTTTCAATAAATTGTTATGTGAGGCTTGCTGGTTATCTGAGATATGTTCTGTATATTTGGCTTTTGTCTAGTTCTTTACTTACAATTTTCAGTGTAAGCTACCACAAATCTTGAAACTAATTATTTGCCTGATGACAGAGTTAGAGTCAGAGAGAGCAAGCCAGAGCAAGTGCATGCGAGCAGGGAGGAACACGGGGAAGGAGAGGGAGAAAGAATCTGAAGCTGACTAGGAGTTCAGCCCAAAGCCTGACTCAGGGCTTGATCCCAGGACCCCTGAGATCATGACCTGAGCTGGAACCAAGAGCCAGAGGCTTTACTGAGCCACTCAGGCACCCTTTCCCTACCTTTTTGATAAATGATCATAAATAAAACAAGTTTCTCAGACCAAAGAATAAAAGAATTTGACGGAGTTCCTTATATTCAACTGATGTTAGCTTATGCATTTTGAATATAATTATGTGCATAACAGTATTACATGTAAAATTAGCAGTCCCAAAAGTTTTTGTTTAAATCTTAAATATGTTGATGTGTGGCTAAAATATATCAGTATTTTCTTCTTTTTCCTATTTTTTATTAGCTGTTCTGTTCAATTTTTTTCAGTCTCATGAATTTAAGTGACATTTGAGTTACAGAAGTTTGAAATCTGCAAGAGCAATTAGTAACTTCTGATTCGTGTTTTACTAGATAAACAGATTGAATCTGGTTATTTTATTCTCTGAAGGTAAGAATTCTGATGAAAGAAGGGTTAGAGAATCAATGCATGCAAAGTAGCCAAATAGATTAAAAGACTAATTAACTTATTGATTAAAATTTAGCAGTAGATAGCATCTCTCTGAACCCTCTCTTAAGATTAAAGAGAAAATTAGAATGAAATGCAGCATATTTATAAAGAATCTAGTCCTATCAGACTTCTCCAGTGGGATTTTTGTTTTCCTTGTGTTTTGAAAAAATGAAGAGGCATGAGCAATATTTTATGTACTGAATTTTACAAAATCCTTTAAAAATAATTGAGAAGAATATTGAAAAAGATTGACTCTTTTTTTTTTTTTAAACTTTCCTACTTTACTTACGAACGTATTCCAATGACTTAGAAAAGGCTGTCTTTATTTCCAGAAAGAAATCCCAGTTGTCATTCTTTGTAGTTTTCTTCTGGCATATCTCTGTGTTGTTTTGGTGACATCTTTTTAGGTCATTCGCAGAGTAGACCTTTGTGGTCTTTCAGGTTCCAAAGGTTTCATGTCTCTCAGGCCGATCACATAGTACAGTATTAATATTTATGGCAATGTACTTTCCTGCTTCTATTAAAATAGTTTTTAATTATGTACCTGTCCTAGTTCATTACTGGATTTCTCATCAGAGTAATTTCATTGTTCCGGTGAACTCTTGCACTGGTTTTATGGTGAGTGGTAAGTAGAGCAGAGTGTTTGCTATGTACTAAGCTTTGTACTACCAGAGCATTTTGTGTACCCAAAGGATGGAAACAGTACATCATTTTGAACTTTGCCTGTATGTTTGAATAATACTGATTTTCTTTTTCTGTATCTTAGTTTTTAATATGTAGTTTTAATATATATATATTTTTTACCTTTTGAATAGATAATACATTCATGTTCAAAATCCAAAAGATGAGAAAAGTTAGTGATTCATTAAAATTATTTTATAGCAACCATATTGAGAGTCTTTTTCTCTTTGTAATTCTTCTTTTTTCCCATTTTTTTTTACTTATTTTAAAAATTATCTGGGATCCCTGGGTGGCGCAGCGGTTTGACGCCTGCCTTTGGCCCAGGGCGCGATCCTGGAGACCCGGGATCGAATCCCACGTCGGGCTCTCGGTGCATGGAGCCTGCTTCTCCCTCTGCCTGTGTCTCTGCCTCTCTCTCTCTCTGTGACTATCATAAGTAAATAAAAATTTAAAAAAAAAATTCTAAAAAAAAATTATCAAGGAATTTTTAAATATACATAAAGGAGAGTGAATACCACAGGAGTCCTTAGATGTATGGATCTTAAAATACAGATCTAGATTCCCAAGGACCATTACCTATCTCAGGGTGAAAGTCTTTCCCCAAAAAAGTCTTCAGTTTTACTATGCATTTGTTAAAAAGACAAAAATACAACAATTTGGTTGATATGGAAAGATCAGCAAGATAAATTAAGTAATAAAAGTGATGTGCAGTACAGTACATATTGTATATACCTTTAAAAAATATATGTATTTACATTTGTTTATATATACCTAGAGTAACTTCAGAAGGATACAGTAAGCAACTGGCAGAAGTTGTTACCTGAGTTATTATACTAGGGAAAGAGACTTTGAACTCTTAACCTGAGATTGCTTGCTTATTTTTGAACCATGTGGAAATATTAAAAATTTAATTTGATTCATTTTATTTTTTTTTTTTTTTTTTTTTTTTTTAAATTTTTATTTATTTATGATAGAGAGAGAGAGAGAGAGAGAGAGAGGCAGAGACACAGGCAGAGGGAGAAGCAGGCTCCATGCACCGGGAGCCCGACGTGGGATTCGATCCCGGGTCTCCAGGATCGCGCCCTGGGCCAAAGGCAGGCGCCAAACCGCTGCGCCACCCAGGGATCCCAATTTGATTCATTTTAAAAATAAAAATGTACTTAAATTACAATTTAAGAATATAGCACAACAATGGTTATTTCCCCAGGAAAATCTATAAAATTAGGTAGAAGTTCCTTTGACTTTGCCAAATAAGCTGTGGACTGATCAGTATGAGAAATAGGCTTTAAAAATTACTTTTTTCTTATCCTTACCCCCAAATGGAAGAGAGCTTATTCAGTTGTAACCTCCTTTCTTTTCTTTCTTTCTTTCTTTTTTTTTTTAAAGGCTGGTGGGGTAGCAGGTGTTGCTGTTGACTTGATATTATTTCCTCTGGATACCATTAAAACCAGGCTGCAGAGTCCACAAGGATTTAATAAGGCTGGTGGTTTTCGTGGAATATATGCTGGTGTTCCTTCTGCTGCTATTGGATCCTTTCCTAATGGTAAAAATTATATTGATATTCTCATTGCCAGAAAGCCAAGATAATGAGATTTATCTCCAGGATGGTATATGATGTTAACCCCACATAGAATTGCTCATGTGTTGTAGCTTATCTCTTGAATTTATTTTCTATTCATTAACCCATTGCTTTTGTATTAGCTAGTGCTGGAGATCCCATTCCACTGTATTGTCAACAATATATGCAATCTTTCTAAAATGGTTTTTCTTGTTAAAATTTGCAGTTAGAATATTGAAAATGTTGTTCTAATATTGGTTGTCATACCTCAGAACAGTGGTTCTCACCCTTGTCCACACATTGGAATCTCTTGGGAAGCTTTAAAAAAATACTGATGCCTGTATCAGCTCCCTAAGTTTAATTGGTCTGGGCTTTGCCTGGGTATCAGGGGGTTTAGTCACTTCCTAGGTGATTACAGTATGAGGCTGAGTTTAATAACTACTGCCTTGGAGATTCTTTTGGAGCACATGAACCTAAGAGGCCTTAAACCTTTTCTGTCTTAACTAAATTGCTCTTAGATGATGCAGCCAACTCCACTAACCTCCTCTTGGATATCTCCTTTAGGTGTCTTGCTTTTGTTGTAGTTTGGAGTCACATTATATGATTTATGGCGCTCTTATGTTGTAATCCATATAATCTGTTTTATTTAATCCATTTGTTGATGTACTTTTTTCAGATACTTATCTCATTTTGCTTACTGATGCTTTCATTGGCACTCTGAAGCAAACCAAACAAACAACCACCACACACACACACACACACACACACTCTCTCTCTCTCTCTCTCTCTCTCTCTCTCTCTCTCTCACACACACACACACACACACACAAAATTATAGAACCTCTGTTCTAGGAGATTCTTTTTTTTTTTTTAAGATTTTATTTTATTTATTCATGACAGACAGAGGGAGAGAGAGAGGCAGAGACACAGGCAGAGGGAGAAGCAGGCTCCACTCAGGGAGTATGACCTGGGACTCTATCCTGGGTATCCAGGATCATACCCCAGGCTGAAGGCAGAGCCAAACTGCTGGACCATCAGGGCTGCCCTCTAGGAGATTCTTAAACTCTGGAATTTGATTTCTTTTTTCTTGGGATAATTCCTGAGTAATTCTTTCATGTTCACCTGACATTTAAATACTCATTTATGTTCATCCAGAACATAGTATTCACATAAAGATTGGTAGTACAGAGAGAAAATAGTGTTTTGCTTGTTTGGTTTTTCTCTCTTCTTCCCCCTCCCCTAGTAGCCCTTAGAACAGCAAACTGGCTTTGAAGTTATCCTTCAATTTTGATTTGTCTAAATACTTTTAGTAATTGTAGCAAGTTACTAGTGAGCACCTCTGTCAGGTATAGTTCTTCATGGGGGAGAGATGCAGCTGATCCTAGATTTTTTTTTTAAAGATTTTACTTATTTATTCATGAGAGACACAGAGAGGAGAGAGAGAAAGAGAGAGAGAGAGAGAGAGAGAGAGAGAGAGAGAGAGAGAGAGAAGCAGGCTCCATGCAGGGAGCCTGACGTGGGACTTGATCCCGGGTCTCCAAGATCAGGCCCTGGGCTGAAGGTGGCACTAAACCGCTGAGCCACCCGGGCTGCCCCCTAGATTTTTTTTTTAAGGTTTTATTTATTTATTCATGAGAGACAGAGAGAGAGAGAGAGAGGCAGAGACACAGTCAGAGGGAGAAGCAGGCTCCATGCAGGGAGCCCGATGTGGGACTCAATCCCCGGACTTCAGGACCATGCCCTGGGCCGAAGACAGGTACTAAACTGCTGAGCCACCCAGGGATCCCCAGTGATCCTAGATTTGATCATAGTGTGTCACCTGAAGAGGTTAAAAAAGTCCTGATGGGGATCCCTGGGTGGCTCAGCGGTTTGGCACCTACCTTCAGCCCAGGTCACGATCCTGGAGTCCTGGGATGGAGTCCTGAGTCGGGTTCCCGGCATGGAGCCTGCTTCTCTCTCTTCCTGTGTCTCTGCCAATCCCTCTCTCCCTCTCTCTCTCTCTATCATGAATAAGTAAATAAATCTTAAAAAAGAAAAAAGTCCCGATGCCTGTGTTGCACTTTCAGAGATGTGATTTCACTGATCTCAAGTGTGGCCTGGGCATTGGAGTTAAAAAAACAAAAACAAAAACTTTTTATGGTATTTCCTTGATCATTCTAAAAGTTCTTTTTCTCTTACAAATTTCACAGAGGAATTAGTGTTGGTAGATGGTAGTATTAGCAATAGTCCATGGAGTACATGGTGCTTTTAGGCTCACAGGACTGTTTTAGATTCTTGCCAGCGGGATTTAATGTACATGTGGTTTTGAACTTTTGCATTTGTGAGAAAATGCTTTTCTTGCTCTACTTCTGTTTTTTTTTTTTTCCCCATCCACAGAACATCAGCAGATATATGATGCTGGGTAGATAGTCAAAGTCCCTGTATTTCAGAAATGGCCTTTTTGTTATTTTCTGTAAATTTTGGTTGAATAGAAGTTTCCTACGTGGCACCTTTTTTTTTTTTTCTTCTTTAACTCTTTGTTAAGGTTCTAGTCCGGGTACAATACACCAATGTAACATTCCGTGGCTGTAGACTTTTCTGAGAACATATAGTGGTCCCCCCTTATCCGTGGTTTTGCTTTCAGCGGTTCACTTACCTGTGATGAATTGTGGCCCAGAAGCAGCTGATCCTCCTTCTGATGCATCATCAGAAGTCAGTAGTAGCCTAATACTATGTCACATACCTACATCATTCATCTTACTTCATCTCATCACATAGGCCTTTTATCATCTCCCATCATCACAAGAAAAAGGGTGAATACAGTATCGATATTTTTGAGAGACCACATTCACATAACTTTTATTACAGTGTATTGTTATAGTTCTATTTTATTATTATTGTTGTCCATCTCTTACTTTGCCTAAATGATAAATTAAACTTTGGCATAGATATTTATGTCCAGGAGAAAATGTATGTATAGGGTGTACTATCCATCATGTCAATCTCGTGCTGGGGCCCTCCCTTGTGGATAAGGGGAGACTGCAGTATTCTGCAGTGGTGAAGACTTGGGGAAGAAGAGGACTAAGGGTTGAAAAAGGAGGAGACAGAAGACCCCTATTCAGGTTCTTTACTTCGATTTAGAAGGGAATGTAGAAAAACCATAGGTTTTTGTTTTTAAAAAGCTAGAAGAGATCTAGGTATCAGCCCAATTTCTGTTCTTTGTTGTAACTTGTCCAGAGCCTCACTTGGAACCTCTTGTGACATCATTTCTAATTAGTTGGGTTTTCTTGGGTGTCATCTGGAGAATTTGGGGATTTACATTTCATTTTGTTTTGTTTTTTGTTTAAGTAGGCTCTACACCCAGCGTGGAGCCCAAAGTGGGGCTTGAACTCTTGACTTTAGATCAAGACCTGAGATCAAGAGTTGGTGCCCGTAGGATTTATATTTCTTTTTCTTTTTTTTTTTTTTTTTAAGATTTTTATCTATCTATTCATGAGAGACACACAGAGAGGGCAGAGACATAGGCAGAGGGAGAAGCAGGCTCCCGGCAGGGAGCTTGATGTGGGACTCGATCCTGGGACTCCAGGATCATGCCCCAGCCGAAGGCAGATAGATGCTGAACTGCTGAGTCACCCAGGCATCCCAGGATTTACATTTCTAGAAGATTTTGTGTATCACAAAAGTGGCAATATAATCTGAGCAGATTGAAATGGTTAACCAGGAAAACCTAGGAACTTGTAGCACTTTCTTCCTTCCCTGTGGTTTGGGTGGGAGGGTGAAATGTGTAACAGGTGGAACTTACTGCTGATTGCAGTTAAGGAAATTCTAACTGTACGTTTAGTGAGTGTGCTGAAGTAAGGAAAGACTTATTGAGAACCAATGTGGGATTAAGGACCTATGTTAATTATGTAAAACTGTTTGCATTGGTCATTACTCCTTCAGGGAGAGGAGTCCTCATTTGGCCCAGTGTTTCTATTTGTTAGCAGCCTGAGGAGAGTTTAAAGGTTTGTTGACTTTAACAATGTAGAACTGATTTTTCAGTATGAAGCTCTTTTTCTAAGTGTTTTAGACTTTACTATGATTTTGTTCAAACGTCCTTCAAAAGATGAATTTGTCTTTCATTTATCTTTCATGCCTTATCTTTTAAGAAAGTGATAAACATCTTTTGATTAACAGTACATGGCAGGTTTTAAAGCTGTCTTGTGCCTAAGATAAGTTTGTGGTGATAGTGGGAGCTTTTTTGAGATTTGATTTCCAGTTGTAATTAAATAGTTGATTATTTCCTTGATGTAAAGGTGAGATGATATAACAAAAAGTAGCCATAGTTATTTTGAGTGAACAGCAATAAAACATTATCAAATAGATATTTTATTTAAAGTATATATTTTCAGTCTTAACCTCTTTATAAATCAGCGTAGCTGATTGTTCTGTTTTATGTAACGGTAATTAGGATCACAGAAATTTGTATCTTATTCTAGAATGGTTACTAAAAAAATATCAAGTGACTTATTACTACAAAATGATGAATGCTAGGTTCGCTGTTAGGCTTTCTCAGAACTAGGATCATGTCTTCTGCATTTTTATAAATCCAGGATTGGGCATATAATATGGGCTAAGTAAATTCTGCAAGAGTGGGGCAGGGAGGAAGAGTATGTGTTCACCTATTATCGTTATCTCTTACAATTTAATAATTATTGTTGTAAATTTTTTTGAGACACCTATTAACAATTTGAATATATAAACTTTTTGAAAGACTGGCTTGTTTTAAATTTCAGCTGCTGCTTTTTTTATCACCTATGAATATGTGAAATGGTTTTTGCATACTGATTCATCTTCATATTTAATGCCTGTGAAGCATATGTTGGCTGCCTCTGCTGGAGAAGTGGTAAGTAACAAGTTATGTGTGTAAAATACTTACAGAAACCATGCATATATCTTTGGTGCAGATAATACTTTGATTTTTAAAAGACAATTCTTATAAGTTATGAAAGTCTAAAACACCAATAAATGTAAATGGATTAAATACGATAGTTAAAGATAGAGTCTAGATAGAATGAAAGAAAAATCCAGCAATATTGCTATTTTCAAGAGACAGCCTAAAACATATTTATACAGAAAGAATGAAATTAAAAAGATGGAAGTAGATATCCATGCATATTGTGATGGCTTTGTGTTGTGTCAACATAACTGAGCTGGAACTCTATTTCCTAGAACTCCCTTTCCAGGATCATTCTAGGTTATGCTGGCTATAAGATAAACTAGCACAAGATTTGAAAGGTGGAAGTGAAGCAATAGTTGTGTTGATGCTTACAAGGTTGGTGTTAGAATCTGGTCTACAGCCTCTCCAGTTCCTACTGGATCATCTCCTTCAGCTTCTCTAAATTCTGAGACAGATGTGTGGGCTCTACAGTGAAGAATGCTAGTTTATACTACAAGTCACCCACATCAGTGAGGTTGGTGAGAAACAGATGGGTCAGTTTATCCTTTGTCCTTCCCCATTTCACATCATTTCATCCTTCCCCCTGCCTGCCCTCTGATTTCTGTCCTAACGCTAGATGTAGAAGTGACTATTCTACATAACCTGCTTAATCAGCTCCCACAGTTTACACCTATAATAATTCTTTATTCTTATCATTGAAGAAGAGCTGATAGAGTTATGTTAGTGTCAGGCAAAAAAATCACTGAAAGCCAAAAACCAAAGAGACTGTCATATAGTGATATAAGGAATAATTCTCTTGGGAGATGCAATAAACTTGATATAATCTCAAAATATAGAGGAGAGATTGCCAGAAGAACAAGGAGAAATGACTAGAAATGTAATTTTTTAAAATTTAATTTTTCCCATCATGATAATTGTACTCTTTAATCCCATCCCCTATTTCACCCATCCTCCCACCCACCAAAACTATAATTTTTGTTGGAGATGTTAACTTCTATCTGTAAAAATCTTAAGACCAGACAGGCAGAAACATTTATTGAGACCATAGAAGATTTGAACAAGAGAATGACAAGATGGGGCTAATGGATATGTGTAGAGCTCTGCACCTAAGAGTTGAAGATTATTTACTTTTTTCTAGCATACTTGGACATGAATAAAAATGTATGAACCAGTAGTACAACAAAGTGAATTTCAACAAGTAGTGTAAAGACAAGGTTGTACAGATCATTTGGTGTCTGATCTTGTAGAATAAACTTGGAAAGCAATGACAAGATAGGCAGTCCCTCTCTCAATACTATTGTGTTGATATCTGTGTCTGTCCTTATGTCGGTACCACATAGTCTGGATTACTGCAGTTTTGTGCTAAGTTTGGAAATCAGTAAGTACGAGTTTTCCACCTTTGTTCTTTTCTATCAAGATTGTTTTGCCAATTCTGGTCTCTTGCATTTTCATGTGAATTTTAGAATCAGCTTATCAATGTCTGTAAAAAAGGCAACTTAGATTGTGATAGGGATCACATCAAATCTGCAAATCAATTTTGGAGACAGTTGCTATATTAAAAATACTGAGTTTTCTGATGTATAAATATATGGTGTTTTTCTACTTATTTAGGTATTACTGAATTTTCTAAACAGTGTTTTGTAGTTTCAGAATATAAGTTTTATACTCCTCTTGGTAATTTATTCAATTTATTCTTTTTGGTGCTATTCTAAATGGAAATTTTTTAAAAATTTCATTTTTGGGGCACCTGGGTGACTTGGTTGAGTGTCTGCCTGAGTGTCTGCCTTCATGATCCTGGAGTCCTTTAATGGAGCCCCATATTGGGCTGCCTGCACAGTGGGGGGTCTGCTCTTCCCTTTGCCTCTCTGTACCTCACATCCCCTCCTTGTGTTCTCTCTCTTGCTTGCTCATTCTCTCAAATAAATAAATAAAATCTTTTAAAAATAAAATTTCATTTTCCATTAGTTCATTGCTACATGTAGAAATGATTTTGTTTTCATATATTGATCTTGTATCTTGTAACTCTGGGGAACTCATTAATCAATTCTAAAGCTGTTTAGTGGATTCCTTAGGATTTTCTATACATGAGGTCATATTCTCTGCAAATAGAGGTAGTTATACTTCTTTCTTTTCAGTGTCTATGCCTTCTATTTTATTACTATTTTTTGCCTAATTGACCTGACTAGAATAGAAGCTCTAGTACAGTGTAGAATAGGAGTGGCGGGAGTGTGAGTCCTTACGTTTTTTTCTGATCTCAGGAAGGAGGTCTTAGTGTTCCACTATTAAGTATGATGTTAGCTGTGAGGTTTTCATAGATGTTCTTTATCAAGTTGAGGAAGTTGCCTTCTGTTCCTAGTTTGTTGGATGATTTTTTTTTTTTTTACATTGTGAAGGTTGCATTTTGTCCATGTTTCTGTTCATCTATTGAGGTAATCATGAGACTTTTGTTTTTTACTTTGCTGATATGGTGTATTACATTAATTGGTTTTCAAACATTAAACCACTCTTGCATTATTGGAATAAATCTCACTTGATCGTTGTATATAATACTTTTTACTTAGGGCTAGGTTTTATTTACTGAGGACTTCTGTTTCTTTATTCATAAAAGTCTATACCTTTTATTGAGTCTTGCTAGTTTTGGTATCAAGGTAGAACTGGCCTCATAGCAGGAATTGGGAAATGTTAAGATAATTTAAAAGAAAGTTATTTTAAAGATACATAGTCAAGTTAATTATATCATTTTAGTTGATGAAAACAGATTATATCTGGGAAATCCAGTAGAAAAGGAATTATGGGCAAAAGTCTGTTATACAGAAAAGCAGTATCCCTCTGTGTGATAATATGAATTGTTGAGGTTATGATGTTTGATAAAGACAAAAGATGATCTCTGCTCTTCTTTGTTATTTTTGTGTCTTAAAAAATTATTTTCTTGTATTTAGTATATATAAAACCTCATACTTTTTCATTAGTGTAAAATGAGTTTTTTTAAGAATTTTAATTCTAGTATAGTTAACATACAGTGTCATATTAGTTTCAGATGTATAATACTCGGGCTTCCCAAGGGGAGCCTGCTTCTCCCTCTGCCATTTACTCTCTCATGAATAAATAAATAAAATCTTTAAAAAAATGATTTTTCAGAACCCAAATTAAGTCTGGATTTTTTAAAAAATTGCTTTCATGATTTATTGAAGTTACAAAAGTGATGGGACCAGCAGTGAGTGTATTGATTTCTGAGAGGCAGGGAACACAAGTGGTAATTCTTTCATGAGCCATGGACCCCTTTAGGAATCTAATGATTGGCTGTCTCTCCAGGAAATTGAATGCATGAACATTTTGCATAGAATTTCTGGACATTTTCATTCCCTCTACTCTTACTCGAAGTAGGAACTCCCGTGCTTGAAGTGTACTGGAAAATTAGCTTAAACTGCAATTTAAAAGCAATTTATACTTAATTTAAAAACAATCCTTTAACCTATTATCCCAGGTTTAGATTTTTTTTCTGTGATTATGTTCTGATTTTAGAACCTCATTATATGCTGTATTTTTTGAGTATATAAAAGAATAACAAGTTATGAGAGTTTCAGTGTCTCTCAGAATGTGAAACTGTCCTTGTGACAGCTCTTGCCTCATTATTTTAGAATTGCATGTTGGTTAAGCTGAAATATTCTCATAAATTCAGTATTTAGTTTATATTTTATAGCATTTTGCTGAAAACAGGCAGCAAAAAGAACTTGGCCTCTTATTTCATCTCACATGGGGCCATCTTGCCTGAAAGCTAATTTGCCATGTCAAAGGATAGGCTTTCTTAAAATTTTTTTTAAAGATTTTATTTATTTATTCATGAGAGACACAGAGAGAGGCAGAGACATGGGCAGAGGGAGAAGCAGGCTCCCCTCAGGAAGCCCCATGGTAGACTCAATCCCAGGACCGTGGGATTATGACCTGAGCCAAAGGAAGACACTGAATCACTGAACCACCCAGGTGCTCTGGTTTTCTTCAATTTGAACACTGAAGCCTTTGTCATTGTGTTCTTTGTGTGAACTCTAGGGTGTAGGAGCTGGGGTAGGTAGATGTGAGCTAGGAAACAAGTGTTTATACCCTAGAGATAAACAGTTCTGGGACAGTCATATTTTTATTACGTCTCTCAGGATTTCTGTGGTCCTTTAGATGGTAAGGCCTAATGTCAGATACCTTTTTATAGTTTCTGTGGTCCCTGGAGAACTTTAAAAAGAGAAGCAATCAGTAGCGGGTATGTAGATTGACTTCACAGGTGAGACTTATCTTGATGGTATTTGATTGATTTTAAATTTAGTTTAAATTTTGTTACAGTGTCCTATGTTGAAAAGATTTTTAGAGTGTGTGGAAATGTTGATTATGATGCTCCAGTTATCTTTGTACTTTTTTTTTTTAAGATTTTAATTATTCATTTGAGATAGCACAAATGGGGGCAGAGAGAGAGGGAGAAGCAGGCTCCCCACTTAGCGGGGAGCCCGATATGGGACTCGATCCCAGAACCCTGAGATCATGACCTGAACCAAAGTCAGATGCTTAACCAACTTTAAAAAAAAAAAAAAGATTTTATGTATTTATTCATGAGAGACACAGGCAGAGGGGAAGCAAGCTCCCTACAGGGAACCTGATGTGGGACTCGATCCTGGATTCTGGGATCAGGCCCCGAGCCAAAGGCGGATGCCCAACTGCTGTGCCACCCAAGCGTCCCTTTTTTTTTTTTTTAAGATTTTATTTATTTATTAGAGAGAGAGAGAGAGAGAGAGAGCACGGGCAAGAGAGCACATGCATGAGTGGAGGGAGGGGCAGAGGTTCCCTGTTCAGAAGTTCCCTACAGGGGGTTTGATTGCAGGATCATGGGATCATGACCTGAGCCAAAGGCAGATGCTCGGACTGAACCACCTGGGTACCCCACTATCTTTATACTTTCTTAAAAA